GAGAGCAGGAGGACTGCCTACAGCCACGAGCCATGACTTCCACCTACAGGATCTCAGGAGCACATGGGATTTTTCACAGCATTACTGAGTAACAGTAAAGCAAACATTAACGTGAAGTCCATGAGATGAGTGCATCCAAAAAGCCTCTTTGGACCTCAGCCAGGGAGAGGCCTACGTGCCTACAGTTCTAGCCCCCGTGCATGCCTCTGGGGGAAACTCATCCCTCATAGACCCAACCCAGCTGCCTCCCAGGGCTGCTGTAGCTATAAATCCTCCCAGGTATGCTTTTAACACCCAGGCAGTTAAAACCCACTCAATACAGTTCAAGGCACTGTGAAAACCAGACCGGTATCACATGATAAACTCAAACAAACCACGGACTGAAGCCACGGAGAGCTGTGCACGCACCTCTTCACTGCATCCACCTGGTCCTGAGTGTAGCCCTTGGGGGCCTCCCCACCAGCCTCTCCGTTGGCCGATGGGAAGTCTCCGCTCATTTTCTTGAACTGGGGGTTTGTGGACTCCTTGGATTGGGACTGGCCATTGGCCGATTGCTCGTTCTTGTTGAGTGACTCAAGCAGAACTGAAATGAGAAAAAGATGAAATGGAAAAAAAAAATAGTTAGAGACTGCCAAGCAGGTCAATCTCTAAGACTCCCCAGCCTTTGTCAGAAAGACCCTCACCTTTTCACCCAAGGAACCCTTGAGCTCCTGCTGCTTCTTGCCCAGATACGAGGGCTACTGCTGAAGATATTGCCTGCTTCTCCCAATACACGCAACCTGTACCAAAACCCCAAGCCTATCCAGCTGGATAGTCCAGGAGCCACAGGGGATCACCAAAGCGGTGCATCCTCATCCTCTCCATTTTTTTCCACATCTCTCCTTAACAGTGAAGAATTTCCGCATTTTTTCTCTAGCATATTATAAAGCATATTATCCTTCTTTACCTCCTGCCGTTAAGGGTCTACTGTGCTGGGTAAATTATGTGACAATGTCATATCTTTAGAGAGCTTAGAAAATAATACCGTGGGATGCCAGTCACATGGGGACACTCCCCTTTCGGGGACAGAGAACTGCAGCACCGATTGCTGGCAGCACGATAGGACCCGTAACACATGAGTCAGAAGGATGCTTTGTTCTCTTGCACTGTCTTACCTACGTATTCAATGCGTGTAGAAGGAGCTCTGAAAACCATCTTCTCTCTCGATTACCAAATGTGAATTGCATAAATTCAGTTTCCCCTTTCTTAAGCGGGGTGCGCACGCATATCAGGTAAACTGCTGCAGACTATCGCCTCCTCTTTGCAAGGCTCAGACACTGCCCTCCACCCTTTTCAGCCAAGAGGGGACAAATATTCAGGTCTGGCCTAACCACGCAGGTGACAATGTTGTGAAACCAAATAAGGCTCCTCCAAGCACAGGAGTATCTTCCCAGCATGTATTTTTCTAGCAGCTGGATAGAGCCATCTTTTTAAGCTATTTTTGTCCTTTTTTAACCAAGTATCAGAACAATCTCTTCACGTCTGTAGTTTCTGAAGTTTATATATTGCATCCCGTTAACAAAGAATAGGCACACGTAACACGATTAAAATCAGACGACATTGTTTACAAAGGCATCAATAACTTGACGAGCTTGCAGTCCTTTATCCAGAGCCTAGAACCGAGAAGGACGTTTCACCTCCTCCTGCAGATTGCACATTACAGACCTTGCACTATGGGGGTATCACGTTCTTTATGCAAGCGCAAACAACACTTGCAGGCCAAGAGACGAGCCAAGATATCCTATCTGCCCTGCAGAGCTCGTAGGGACAAGAAAAAACCGCTCAGTAATCCAACAGCCAATACAGGTAATTGTTACAGGACGAAGGATAAAAATGACAGCGGGCTAATGAACAGTAACTCATTGGATGAGCTTTTGAGTCTGGGGGCTTCACAGATTTCAGCTTTCAGAAAAATAAATCCTTCCCTCGCTCATAATTACACCACTAGAGTGTTCACAAAATTATAGTCTCTGCTTTTGTTCCTTCCAAACCTGGAGAAAACCGCTAGGCACTTCTAAACCTCATTTCACAAGGCAATCCCTCTACCCAACTCCACTCTTGCTGTTTCGGGCTCTGTTCCCTACAGCTTGCCAAGAGATTTTTGGTAGTGTAGTTCCCAAAACCAACCACAGAAGTCCACATATGGCCACAGCTCAGCCTTGTTTTGCTCTGCAGCCCCAGTCCTATTGCTTCTGCATCCCAAAGCAACGCTGGTCCTCTGTGTGGTCACAACATAGGCCAAATTCGTAAATTACTGAAGCAGAGACTACTGGATTAGTTTTCAGTTCTACCAGCTCAGCTCCCCACCAAACCCATGCCATGGATCGCTTTTCCTCGCTTATTAGCCAACATTTGTTCAAGTCCTGTTAATTTTTCCAAAACTCCCGCTTAAAAGGTGACCAGTGGGACTTTGTCTACACCAGCATGCCTGGCTGCATTTACACAGAACATTTTTGCTGAAATCCCCTTGCAAAACCCTTTGCTGATCCTGTGATGACACCTGTAGGACCCAGCCAGGGTCAGAGTTTGAAGCGCCGGCTGCGCAAGGTCCACAATGCTGATCATTGCCAAACCCAGCGTAACTCACGAGAAAAAAAAAAAAAAGAGATTTCCCCGGGACACACGAACTACGTAAAGACTCAATGACCACGGTGTAACCGCGGGATCTTTGGCAACATTTCCCAACGCCCCAAAGCGCGTGGGCGAGCAAGTGGCAGCACGTCAATCGAAGGGTCCTCGGACGGCAGCTGGGATGTGAAACTTGTACCAGTAACTTAGGTTGAGTCTGGCCACAAATTCGCACGCTGTATTTCACATTAACCTGCCCTGATGCCCCCCTTTCCTCTGCTTCCCCCCCTACTAGGCTCCAGTTCTCTAGCACTACATATCCCACCTTTTATTCTGGCTGTCCCAGGCCACTGGATGGGTTCAAAGCAAGGCCGCTTTACACCGCAAAGAGCCGCTTGCTGCCACCCAGATCCGCTTCTCTGGTGCGCGCCATAACAGAGCTCCTCAGGGAGGGGAGTCCTCCACAGGGTGGGCCCTTCTGTCTGCTACGCCGCACTTTTTTCCTCCGAAAACGCCACTTT